TTGCTTCTAAGGAGCATTCTGGCTGTACTTCTTCCAAGACAGATTTGTTCGTTCTTTTGGCAGTCCATGGTAAATTCAATGTTCTTCAACAATACCACAATTCAAAGGCATCAATTCTCCTTCGATTTTCCTTATTAATTGCCCAGCTTTCCTATGCATATGAGGCAACTGAAAACACCATGGCTTGGGTCAGGCGCACCTTAGTCCTGAAAGTGACTTCTTTGCTCTTTAACACTCCAAAGAGGTCTTTTGCAGCAGTCTTTTGCCCAATACAAGACAGCGTCTGATTTCTTGACTGATGCTTCCATGGGCATTGACTGTGGAACCAAGTAAAACGAAATTCTTGACAATTTCAATCTTATCTCCGTTTATCATGATGTTGCTTATTGGTCCAGTTGTGAGGATTTTTGTTTTCTGTATGTTGAGGTGTAACCCATACTGAAGGCTGTAGTCTTTGATCTTCATTAGTAAGTGCTTCAAGTCCTCTTCACTTTCAGCAAGCAAGGTCTAGTAGTGGCATAAAAATCAGTTAATGCTGTCCAATGGAACATTCCACAGTGATGGAAGTCTTCTGTAGCTGTGCTGTCCAATGTGGTAGTCACTAGACACAAGTGGCTACTGAGCACTTGAAGTGTGGCTAGTGCTGAGAAAGTGAGCTTTTAATTTAATTCGTTCCAGGTAGCTAGTGGCTACACTGGTCAGTGCAGCTATAAAACCCATGTCCATATGAATGGAAGTCAATAAGAGTGTAATAAGGTTACTTGATTATATCTATATGTGTATGTATATATGTAAACCAAAAACCCATTGCCATCGACTCCATTCCGACTCAAAGCGATCCTATAGAACAGAGTAGAACTGCCACGTAGGGTTCCCAAGGAGCAACTGGAGGATTCAAACTGCCGAACTTCTGGTTAGCAGCTGTAGCTCTTAACCATTGCACCACCAGGGCTCCAGAGTGCAGCTATAGAAAAGTTATAAAGAACTACTTACTAAGAACCAGGTTCTCTGGATTATTCCTCCAATCCTCAAAATAACACTCAAAATTGCTATTGTTGTGAAGAATGCAACCAACGTCACTGAATTTCACATGTAGAAATTGTTGAATTGGCAAATGCTTTGGTATGTACATTTTCACCACAATAAAAAAATTGCTATTGTAATAATTATCTTCCATATGAAGGAACCGAGGTTCTGGTGTTTGAGTCCTCAGAGGCCATGGGATGCAGTGGGCTGGGTGTCCCTTTAACAGCCAGGCTGACATTCACGTGAATCTTATCTCCACCAGGCAACCACACTGAGTCTTAGAACTGTAATTGGCAACAGAACCTCAGAGATGCTTTGAGGATTAAGATAAGGAATGAAAAGACTCTTTCCCATGGTGACTTTCTCCAAAAAGGAGAGGCAGCCAAAAGTTAGCCCAGTCAATCCAGCAATCTCACCATTACACGAAATGGAAATTTCCCAGAAGGAAGAGCTCACTTAACTAATCTCTGAAAAAAAAAGTCAGCCTAGAGGAACTCATCCTGTGAAATGACAGACTAGATGAAGCCATCATGGGAAAAAGTCAATACTCTCAGAGATTGAGATTGTCACAAAGCAGGTTATTTACATCAAGGAACAAAGCCACGTTCTTTGATAAAAACCAGACACAGAAATCTGATTCGGCCAAATATTTTTTAAAAGTGGCAAATATCTCTCTTTTGTTTTTACTTAGTCATGTATGTGACTAGCACTGAAGACAGTAAAATGGGAGTCAGTCAGTGTAAGCCATCCTTTTGAGAAGAGAGCCCTTTTCTTTTGAATAATAATCCCTCAATGTGTGTGGTCTCATTTAAAAAACCATCCAAAAAAAAAGAGAACAATAAAATTTATTTATAGAAATTCTTCAGGTCTTTACAGAAAATACAGATAAGCAAAAAGAAAAAAGCAGAGACTACCTACAATACCACCAGCATGGATGAACACTGGCAGTACTTTGTAATATTTGGAACAACCTTTCTTAGCCTGGGAAACCCTGGTGGTGTAGTGGTTAAGTACTATGGTGGCTAACCAAAAAGGGTGCAGTTCGAATCCACCAGCTGCTCCTTGGAAACTCTATGGGGCAGTTCTACTCTGTCCTAAAGGGTTGCCACTCAGTGGCACAGATACAGATCTTCTTAAAAGAAAAACTGCAATCATACTGTAAACACAGCTTCATCACCTTCTCTCTGAACTTGACATTGTATTGTGAATATATTTTTATGTCGTTCCTTCCTCACATCATTTTAATGATAGTCTAATATTGCATTCATTTGATAGCTGTCATGAGCTTTTAAACTTAAGTTACTATTTCTTTTTTTATGTTTATAAATAATGCTCTAGTAAACATGCTTGAACCTAACACTTTTTCATTTATTTCTGATAATATCTTTAGGATAAATTCTTAGAATTCATAATTCAGGGTCAAAGGATATGCAAAAATGTAAGGTTTTGATATATGTTCATTTCCTCTCAAAAAGATTATGCCAGTTTACATATTTTTAGCAGAATATGAGTGTCCATTTTCTGATATCCTGGACCAGATATTAAAGCCATTGCCAGGGAGTCAATTCTGACTCATAGCGACCCTATAGGACAGAGTAGAACTGCTCCATAGGATTTCCAAGGAGCGGCTGGTGGATTCGAACTGCCGACCTTTTGGCTAGCAGCTGAATACTTAGCCACTGCACCACCAGGGCTCTGGACCAGATATTATTGGTCTTCAAAACTCTTTGGGAAAGCAAATGGTACAACAGTATCTAATTACTGCTTTGATTCTCAATTCTTTGTTTCATAGTAAAGCTGAGCATTTTATATGTTGATTTGTTGTTGTTGTTGGGTGCCACTGAGTCGGTTCCAACTCACAGGGACCCTACAGGACAGAGCAGAACTGCCCCATAGGGTTTCCAAGGAGCAGCTGGTGGATTTGAACTGCCGACCTTTTGGTTAGCAGCCAAGATCTTAACAACTGCGCCACCAGGGCTCCATATGTTGATTAGTCATTTGTATTTTTGTCTTTGTAAATTATTTATTGGGTCCTTTGCCCTTTTTTTGTGTTGAAGTGCTCATTGTTCTCAAGTATATACGCTTGAATTTGTGGGTGCACAGATGTTCTTTGCTAGTTGTTACTTCCACTTTCCATTTTATGTATGTTTATTCTCTTGCATTTCCCTAGAAAGTAATCATATATTTCATGTCATCTATAAATAATTGTAAATTCCTTTCCTGCTGTTCAACAGTAATACCTAATTATTGACTTTGTTGATATTTTGTCTCATTGTAGTGGCATTATCAGAACAGGGTGCCATATAAGGGAATAAAATGGACCCTTGTCTTCTTTCTTACACTAAGGGGAATGTCTCTACTTCACGGAATCTGGAGAGTTGTTAAATGTAATGCAACATGTGATCAAAGCAACCCTTCATTTCTAGTTTACTAAAAATTGATTTTATCAATAATCAATGTTGCATTTTATCAACTGCCTTTCAGTATGTATTCATATGATCAGAAGGTTTTTACCATTTGGTGCATTATAGTAATAAATTTCTTTACATTGATCTAACCCTTAGATAAGCCCAGTTTGACTATTTTTAACATATTACTGACTTAATTTGCTATTTTTTTTCCTAGAATTTTTAAATTTATTTTCATAAGAAGAATAGTACGTAGGTTCCTTTTCAGGTGCTGATGCTTGGAGATTTTCTTTTTCTCTGATGTATTACCATCTTGAAACTGCTATAGAAAGATTTCTAACATTTTCTATGTTTAGAAAAACTGAAAATGCATAGGAAATAAAAAATTCACAGGTGAAGAATCTGGACCATGTATAGTTTGGGGGAAGAGTTCTCTGAAATTTTTCCATTTCTTCCGCGGCCGTTTATTGCAGGCTTCATTCTTTTTTCTGAGTTCATTTTGACTGTTGACAATTTTTAAGACAATCATTCCTTTCATTAAGAGTTTCCAATATTCTCATGGACTTTATATAATATTTAGCATAAAATATCTGCATTTCTTTCTATGTTCTCTTTATATTTTCTAAT